GGGGAGGCATTAGGATTCATCTGTTCTGTAAAATGTGAAGAGAGCCGTAGAATGAGCTTACTTTCTGCAACAAAACTTTCCAAGGCCATACACAATTAGTGCAATAGGGTGTGGAGCAGCCCTCCATAAGGCATTAGTTTTTACTTTGCCTTGTCCATGTGCAATCAGCTGGTACACTACTGCTGTAATGACAGCACTGGAGCTTAACTGCCCATTAACTTTAAATCAGGGAGGGCCAGAACCTTATCTCCCCATTAGTCCCAGACCAAATTTGTTAGGTGGGTGAGACTGTCAATCATCTGATGTCACTATTTTGCCAGGTGATCCTTTGAAGCAGGAGGGTCAAAGAGGAGCATGGGGCTGCTTGCCAAAGGACTTTCAAATATCACTGCTCCAGTTTTTAGAAGTTCAAGAAGCATTGCTGAGAGGGAGAAGCAGGTTCAATGAAAACTACTTCTCTCTGTCTAGCAGCAAGGTGCAGCTGATGGATGGCGGAAGCATGCCTTGCTTAGCAAAGAAACAGTTGGAGCTCACTTTAAGTTCCTGATTGTTCCTTTACTTGTTGTGTGCCTGACATTATGTATGACAGCAGGTTAAGGGAGGTTGGGTGTGGCTTTCCCAAAATGGCCTGGTGAGCCAAGTATGGCTCATGGGCCAGAGGTTTCCCACACCTGCTTTAAATGAAGACCCCACCTCTTTAAATGGAGACCTGCTCCCACCTCCCCTAATGTCCCTGCTATTCTCAGAAAAAGGGTAGGAGCAAAGCTGTGCTTTATGACATGTTGGCTACCATGGCATACACGGTTCAAAGGGTATTTGTGTAACAAAGCCATGCCAGGTGTTCTAAGAAGCTTAAACAAAGAGTAGTTAAACTGTGGGTATATGGAAAGCTCCTCTGCTCCCTGCTTTCCTCTTATTCAGGATTGCAGATATAGTTGCATGCCTGGAATGCTTAGTTTCAAGTTCAAAAATAAATGCATGCTTTCTGATTCTAGGTGAGAAAGCAGTGACGCCTGTGCAGCTCAAAGATTTCAAGGCAGACTTGACTTCTCAGTTTGTCTTCTCGCCCCCTGCTTTGAGATCTAGGAAGAAAAAAGTGTCCAGTATTTCAAGGATTGTGGAAGAGTTGGTAAGTAAAACCTTTGATCCCTTCTCCAAAGATCTGAAGAGAAAAAAGCCAGCAAATTTCTAGTGAAAGAGCCAGATTCTCCCTTCTGACATGATGTGATGATTGGGAGATTAAGCTTTCCACATGTTTATAATTGCAATGGACCTTTTCAACACCTTTTGCAGTTTGCTAGAACCAGCTTGAGCTGTTGCTTCTTGGGTGTCCAGGGCACTTAATTGGTTTTATTGGTTTTTACTGTTTTTTAAAGTGCTTAATTTTATTTAAGTTTTAAAATGTAATTGAAAAACTGTGGTTCTCCACGATCATGCTGGCTGGGATGATGGAACAGTGCAACAACATCTGGAGGGCAACTCAAATGACAAGCGAAAACAATATACACATCACCCCTTTGCTATACAGCGAATAACAAATATTTAAAAGATTAAAAGATGGCAGCTTTTGCAATATTTAACACACTTTAGGCAATCTTTCAGGTTCATTGTATAGCATTTGAAGAACTGCTGACAGCAAGCAACACAGGGCAGTTATGTTGCTTATTTTTTATCTTTATTAGTCAATATTAGAAATTACATGGAAAAGCAAGGAGTTTGTATTGATAAATTGGATTATCCAATTTAAGACTGGAAGCCATATATCATTATGGACAGCCTTTCCTCCTCCCAGGAGGGGAGGGGTTGTGAGCGGGAGACGATTCCTGCGTCATGCAGGGGGCGCTCCGCCCCCTGCTTCAACTCCAGGGCTGGCGCCACACCCCTCCCCAGTTGGGCACCCAATAGGGAAGCTCGGTGGGGGCGTGGCTTGCTGCTCAAATGCAGCCGCGCCAGCCATCCCCAGCATTGCACACACATTTTCTTCGAGTCAAGAGGTCGTTTTTGCTACGCTCACGGAAGACAGGGAAGTACTTTGCCACGAGGCTTGGGGGGTATTGCGTTCTCTTGCTACTGGCTGGCTTAATCTGAGCTCATTCAGTCTTAAATCCACCTTTCCCCCCCCCTCTCCTGGTGCCTGAGCGATTGCCAGCCCCTTTAAAACCACCTATTTTAAAAACCACCCCTTTAAATCCACCAATTTTTCCCCTCTCCTGGTGCCTGGCAATCGCTAGCTCTTTAGTGATCGCGGGGTTCCCTGCTAGCTGAGCGGTGCGAATTTGAGACTGCTACTGTGTTGGCTTTCTTGTGTTTAAGGGGTTTTGTATTTTCTGTTTTGAGTGTAAATGTTTTAAATTACTACTGTATGGCACTGGTTTATCAGTGTCACTACTAGTGCCTACACAATAAATTTAAAAAGTAAATAAAAAGGAGATGTCAGAGAAACAGTTTCACTTTGTGCAGGTTTACCACTCTACATTTGTCCTTTAGGAATTACCAGTTAAAGAGGAGAAGGATGCAGTCTCAATAGAAACTCCAGAGAAGCCGAAAGTAAAGAGAAGCAGAGCTACAAGGTCAAAAGCAAAAAAAGCAAGCAAGTATGGGATGATTCTATATACCCTCCCCCCAAAATAACTTGTTATTTCAAAAGCAGTCATGTGCAGAAATTATCACAGTAATGCATTTGGCATTTAGTATCGTAATTTAAAAAAAGACATTAATTTGGTCTTCTGTGGCCTTTCAAATGTTGCCAGACTCCCAACTTCCATTATCTTGGCCATGTTGGCTGGAGGTGATTGGAGTAGGGGTCAACAACATCTATAGGTGCCTCTGTTCCCCATCCATGCCCTAAAGCATAATAAATACTTTATACCAAGTCAGGCCATCTGTTCATCTAGTTCAATACTGACTGGTAGCAGCAATCTAGGTTTCAAACAGGACATTTTTTCCAACCTTATGTGGAGATGCTCAGGATTGAACATGGGACCATTTGCACGTACAGTTGTACCTCGTTTTGAGTCCGCACTGTTTAGGGTCTATTTCATCGAACGTCCATGGCAAACCTGGAAGTACCGGAACGGGTTACTTTCGAGTTTGCTGCTCGTTCATGCACAGAAGCGCTAAATCTCGCTTCGTGCATGCGCAGAGCAGCGCTTTGTTGAGCATCTGGGGCTCTGGAACAGATCCCAGACGCAAAGGGAGGTCTGACTATACTCTGTTGTTATTATTCTCGGTAGTGGCGCCCGCCTGTGGAATGCCCTCCCACCAGATGTCAAGGAAATAAACAACTATCTACTTTTAAAAGACATTTGAAGGCAGCCCTGTTTAGGGAAGTTTTTAATGTTTGATGTTTTATTGTGTTTTTAATATCCTGTTTGAAGCCGCCCAGAGTGGCTGTGGAGGCACGGCCAGATGTGCGGGATATAAGTAATATATATATTTCATTCATTTAGACTGAGCCTACAGCTAATTATTCAGTCTTCATTCATCTAAACAGAAACATAACTTGTCAGTGTAACCTCTCCTTCCTCTTCCTTGCAGAGTCCTAGAGAAAGATAGCAGTTGGTCGACGCCACACATGGAAATTCAGTTCATTTCTCCTTTTGGCACGCCAGTAGATGGAGCAAAAAGCAAACAGAAGCAGTCTGTGGATAAAGCAGAAAAGACTGTTCGTAAGACTCTTCATAGGAACGAGAGAATAACTAGCTTTCCAAAGCCAATTGTTCAGAAGAAGAGGCTATAACTGTTTTTAAATATGTGTATTGTACACCAATGCTTGTAAAGTCATCATTGTGTGGAATATTAAGAAAAAATCATTAATTTGGAAGATAATTTATATAAATTATTGTAAAATTTCAGAAAACTAAAGGTCTTCAATAAGTAACTCCGTATGGAGTGTGATTTCTTCAGTCAATGCAGGTTTTCTATTTTATAAGACTTCATACATTTATATAATATGTAAATAATCTTATTTTAGGAATGTTAAATAAAAATGTATACATAACAGCAATTATTGTCCACTAGATTTTTGAGAGAGAAAGAATAAAAGAGGTGTGTGGTGCAAAGAAATTAAAGAGGATTTTAATGATGGCTTGTCACTGTTGGTGCTTCTCTAATGGGAGGCTACTCTTTTTTAACAGTTTGATCTTGCAATGTTTTTGAAAATTAAAATTTGGCAGTTTTAGAGTTTATAGAAAATGTTTTGACCTTTTGGGAATTGGTAAAAGGGGTTATCCATTGCATACAAGTTCCTTACTCCTGGTTGAACATGTACCTTATTGAAGTCGGAATGTAAACAATTGTATTGAAGCTGTGCAATATTTTTTTGTATTTGTCTTAACTTGGGAAAGCTGCTCTTCAGTTTATAAAACAAAATCTCACCTCAGATGTTTCATTGTTCTTTCAATTTGCTGCATCAGCAGGAGTCTCTAACATTAGAAATATTTATATGTTCGCATTTACTCACCATGGGACTCAACACTTTCAGGGATTTCACCTCCTTAAATTTGCCCCCAAATTTGATATTTTGAAATGATGCATGTTTTATAGACTTTGTGGTTACTAGAGAACTGCTACCACAATTTTGGTAAAATAAAATGGTCTGGAAATATACATTCTCCTGTAGTGTTTGACCTATATCACTGCAGCACAGAGAAAGTGGAGTCAGGTTGAATCAGATTTCTGGTTCAAATTGAGAGAGAAGCCGAAAGAGGCAAGTACTTTAAATGAAGTTTTACATAGGATGCCCAATATTCAGTTGCCTCTTTTAGAAACGGTACACACTGCTGGCAAATGTGACCTTCCTGGAGTTCCTCTTAGACATAATGTATCAGGTAACATTCAGGTAATGAGTGGACACATAAATAATTGAGGAACAAAGCAGCAGCTGTATTAGGATCCACTCTACCCTTTTCTTTTTCGAAAACAAGGTCCTGAAGAGAAAACTTGAGCGATGCACTCTGTTTTCTTTCTGAATTCCTTGGAAGAGTTCAAGCAGCAGAAGCATGCCCGGTTCGGACAGTGTGAAAGTGGCAGTACGCGTAAGACCTTTCAGTAAGGTTAGTCACTTATTTTGTCTTCACTGAAACTATCAGGCCTAAGATGACAATGGGGCAGCTGAGTGGTTGGTGATGGGAGAGGCTGGGGACTACATTTCAGAAAAGAGGAGGAAGTGTCACTTGGTAAGGTGAAGAACGAGCCCTTCCGGTAATGGTGGCACCTTTTAGAGGGCAAAACATCTGCTATGGAGGGGGTGAAGAGAGGGGAGAGTGATGCTTGGAACAGCTGTCTTGCTGCCAGTCCTTCATACACAGTACTGTAAGTCTTTCATGTAGCAAATCAGGCCTGGCTTGGATCACGGTGTGCCTTGTGTGGTGTAGTGGTTAAGAGCGGTAGTCTCATAATCTGGGAAACCGGGTTCGAGTCTCCGCTCCTCCACATGCAGCTGCTGGGTGACCTTGGGCCAGTCATGCTTCTTTGAAGTCTCTCAGCCCCACTCACCTCACAGAGTGTTTGTTGTGGGGGAGGAAGGGAAAGGAGAATGTTAGCCGCTTTGAGACTCCTTAAAGGGAGTGAAAGGCGGGATATCAAATCCAAACTCTTCTTCTTCTTCTTTCTCTGGGTGTGGTAGGCATGTCTGGCTAGTTCAGGCAGGTTTGTCTCTTCGTATGCATGTTAGGCCTTGATAGGTCCTTAAGGTTTCCTATAAAAGTAAGAATCTAGCTGAGGTTGCTTTTCTTATCTTACTGTAACAGTAACAGGAGAAGGAACCTTTTTAGAGTTAGGCTGGATCTACACTGATATGTAAAAATGCTGTAAAAAAGAAAAGTAGTATAGCTCTCTTTGCAGTTTCCCATTGCCGGCAGATCGCTACTCTACAGTGCTTTCTGGTGTCACATTTTTTATTACGCATTTTTAACGTTTAAACTAACCAGTGTAGGAAAGCAATATTTAATGTCTGGTCAAAATACAAGGATTTGCTAGAAAACAAGACTCCAAGGTGGTTGTCACCTATGGAGGCCAAGGCTCGGAAAAGACTCAATATGGAAGCCGAATGGCCGAAATATTGGGAAATAATTGAAAAGGTTGGAGAAACCTGGAGGTTGCAGAGTTTGGAGAAACTAGAGGGTAAAGTGCGAGATTGGTTACATTATGCTCAGATTAAGGAGGTTTTCAATATGGATAAAAAGATAGGATTCCAGGTGGAAAAATCGAAATTAGAAACAGAATTGTTAGAACCTAAGACCAAGGTACTTTCAAGAATGTATAATTTGCTGTTGAAATGGAACACACAAGATGAAACAGTTAAATCAGCTATGATAAAATGGGCACAGGATATTGGATACAACATCATGTTTGCTGACTGGGAAAGGTTATGGACTACCGGTGTGAAGTTTACGGCATGTAATGCTTTGAAAGAAAATATTATGAAAATGATATACAGGTGGTACATGACCCCAGTCAAGCTAGCAAAAATATATCATTTGCATGATAACAAATGTTGGAAATGTAAGGAGACTGAAGGAACGTTTTTTCACCTGTGGTGGACCTGCCCGAAAGTGAAGGCCTTCTGGGAAGTGATTTACAATGAGTTAAAAAAGGTATTTAAGTATACCTTCCCTAAGAAACCAGAGGCCTTCCTTCTGGGTATTGTCGACCAGAAGGTGTTAAAAAAAGACAGAACCTTTTTTATGTATGCAACAACAGCAGCAAGAATACTTATCGCAAAATATTGGAAGACACAAGATTTGCCCACACTGGAAGAATGGCAAACGCAACTGATAGACTACATGGAGCTGGCTGAGATGACTGGCAGAATTCGAGACCTGGGAAAAGAGGAGGTGGAAGAGGACTGGAAGAAGTTTAAAGATTATTTACAAAAATTATATAAATTGTATGAATGTTAAGAAGGTGCATGAAAGGAAAGATTATGGCATCAGCAGCCTAAACGAGATATGGATGAGAATAAGTTGAAATACAAAGATGAGATTTGAGGTAAAGTTATGCCAAAATTAAGCAGTTAAATACTTGATGGAAATACTAATTAGAGGCATAACACATTAGAATTAGAACATAAGATTGGAAAGAAGGTAATAATTTGCTGAACATAACTTTTTTATGGAGAACGCAGGAAAGGGAAATGTGAGGAAGTCCAGATGGTTATGGAAAATATGTATGGAAAACTGTGAGGTTTTTTTTCTTTTTTCTCTTTATATATAGTTGTTAGCTATGTGTTTTGTGTCTGATATATGTTTCGCTATTTTCTTCTTTCAAAAAATTCAATGAAAATATTTTAAAAAATAAAATAAACTAACCAGTGTAGATTCACCCTTGGTCTTGGAAACTCTTATAGCGTAGTCCCTTGATTCCAAAATTTTCCTGAGGACCCTGAACTCTCCTTCTCTGCCTTTGTGTGTTTGTTTTGTTTTAAAGCCAGTTTAATATTTGCAAGAGGCTGCTGTTACTGCATGGACTAGGTGGGGTGGGGGAGTAACATGACTTTTTGGTCCACAGTTAATGGATCCATTTGGCCCTAGGCCTGATAGTCGTCCACTTTATTCTGCCAGGGCTTCTGTGCTTTCTTAAATGCGTATGACAAGCAAGTGTGTAAACAGCTGCAGCTTTTCCCAATCTGCACTTGTTGTGCACCTGTCAGTCATGCAGCTTTTCAGCAGGACAAAGCCAGGCTTTCTAAAACATGGGTAGGCAAACTAAGGCTCTAATCACCTTCTAAATCTGGCCCGCGGACGGTCCAGGAATCAGCGTGTTTTTACATGCGTAGACTGTGCCCTTTTATTTAAAATGCACCTCTGGGTTATTTGTGGGGCCTGCCTAGTGTTTTTACATGAGTAGAATGTGTGCTTTTATTTAAAATGCACCTCTGGGTTATTTGTGGGGCATAGGAATTTGATCATTCCCTCCCCCCCATATAGTCCGGGCCCCCACAAGGTCTGAGGGACAGTGGACTAGCCCCCTGCTGAAAAAGTTTGCTGACCCCTGCTCTAAAAGCTTGTCCCAGCTGTCTGGAGCGAGGTAAACAAACATGGATATTGCCTGGGGGTGGGGTGGGTGGAAGCTGGAAAGAGATGTCTCTGCTGCTGCCAAGCCAATAATCCCTAAACAAAACAACCCTCACAGTTGGTTTCCTCACTTCAGCTGATAGCATGCATAGTACTGAACCTCTTCAGTTTCCTAGAGCAATTCAGTCTCCTAAAGGTTTGAAAAGAGAAGCAAGGCAAATGTGACTCACTAATGGAGATACTTCCAGACTGAATACAGATATGAATCTGTCTTGAGGCATTCTGACCAAGACTTAAGTAAGCATATGAGGAGCAAGAGGGTATGCATGAGCACACTAGCCCTTCCCTACAAACCCTGGGCAGCTGTTAGCCAGTGTAGACAATGCTGAGTTTAGATGGACCCAATGGAAAGACATCACTTCCTGTGAGCCAATGTAGTGTAGTGGTTAAGAGCGGTAGACTCATAATCTGATGAACCAGGTTCGCATCTCCGCTCCTCCACATGCAGCTGCTGGGTGATCTTGGGCTAGTCACACTTCTCTGAAGTCTCTCAGCCCCACTCACCTCACAGAGTGTTTGTTGTGGGGGAGGAAGGGAAAGGAGAATGTAAGCCGCTTTGACACTCCTTCGGGTAGTGATAAAGCGGGATATCAAATCCAGACTCTTCTTCTATATCCCTACCCGTTGCCTGCCATCTGTTCAAAGTGACTGCCAGCATGTGGCCTCCAGAGGCTTGTCCGAGAGTGAATTCAGACCTCTGATCCAAGAAACGTTAGCCACTCTTGCAGTGCAACACTTCTACTTTCTCTGCCTTGCATCAGCTTGAACTAATCTTGATTCTCATCAGCAACCAAATCTGGAAGCAGCTTTTCACATGAGGCAAAGATCCCAAGGTCTTCTCTGGCAGGAATTACCTTACTGATACCACCAAAGCATTTCATATTTAACTCTGAATGTCCAAAATCCATTCTTTACTGTTTCTTCCAAGCCTGTGCTCATACATGCTTCTACTCTCCTGGCATGATTACGTTTAAGTTTTAAGCCTTATTCTGAACTCCTGAATAGGCCTCATAAGGATGTGATGGTTTGTGTTTCCCTCCCCACCCCACAACATTTTAATGCAGGAATTAAGCTTGAACTTCCTCTAAATCGCTCATTTTTTTAGCAGCACTTAAAAGATCGTGAGTATAAGAAACAGACTCATAATTGCTGCTTCATCTTGCAGTTTTAAGCAGGCATGGATCTTATTACAATCAGTATAGCTAACTTCTAAGTAAACTTGTTTGAAGATTGGAACATAAATGTGATGTGTTTCATTTTTGGATGGTTTATCATGTGAATATTTTTTTGCCCTCAGTCTTCTTTGGGAAACCATCTAAACCCCCTCTGTGAGAACTGCGCAGTTGGTAGAGCTTGTGGGTTCAAGCCCCACACTGGGCAAAAGATTCTGGCATTGCAGGCGATTGGACTAGATAACCCTCTTGGTCCCTTCCAGCTCTGCAATTCTATGATCCCATTATTATGGGAGGTTTGGACAGAGGCATCCCACTGCCTTGCCCTGCTGGCCTCTGATGTGAAAGTATTCTGATGACACAGAGCTCTTCATTCTGTCCACAGGTAGAAATAATGCCAGCAGGGAGCTCTGAAACCGGGCATTCTAGAGGTGAGGGGCTGAGTTGGGTCCACTTGATGTCATCAGGCCCAATTGCTGTTCTAGCTCCAGGCTGGAGCACCCCACTGCCTTTGTACCAGAGTGAGCAGCAAAGATGCAATGGCAGCCCCATTGCTGCCCAACTGGGTTTTGGATTGTAGTGTTGCAGGGCCCTTTGGTGTATTTATGTGGATAGTGATGAGAGGTACTGCATTATATGAATATCTAACACTTTCAAAGAACTCTGGTAGTGTGTGATACATTATAAATGGCCATTTGAAATGTGCAGCATAGATGAAATGTTGAATAAGGCCCTGTCTGTAGTATTCATTTAAAGCAGTATCCTGCCACATCAAACAAGCACGGCTTCCCCCAGACAATCCTGGGAACAGTAGTTAAAAATGCTGAGAGTTGTTAGGAGACCCTTATTTTCCCCCCAAAGCTACAATTCTCAGCTCAATGAAAATAGGGATTAATTGTTGAACCACTCTTGAGAGTGAATTTTAATTTTTAAATATTAATGTGAATTTTTAAATTTCAATAGAGAGAGAAGAATGCAGGCAGCAGATGTGTGATTTCTATGAATTGCAGCACTACAAGCATACATGATCCCAGGAATCCAAGCCATGTAAAAACCTTTACCTTTGACCTGGCGTATTGGTCACACAATGGATTTTTAAAGGACCAAGATGGCAAGCTAATTTCAGCTGGGCCAAACAGCAAATATGCGGGACAGGTAAAATGCATTTCATACAGTGATTTATTCTTTCGCAATGCAATGCTAAAAGCATAACTACTCATTCTGCACTAGGACCAGTTCACAGGGTGGTAAAGCAGAGGTTGGATTCAGTAAGAAAACTTAAAGTTCTCAATTTAAAAACCCAGTTCCTTTGCCTAGATTTTCACATCTGCTCTTGGGTTGCATGTTTACAACTGTCATTGCTCTGAGCACAGTGTTAGAGCACCTTATTGTTGAACTTTTTGGAGTATCTGATATGGTCAGTGCACCAAGACCAACCTATCCATACCTGCAGTGCTTCATGATATCCAAGGGGCTGCTGCCAAAAGAAGTAAAATGTCCTTCCTAGTGTGTACAATAGCGCACACTGTACACACACATTGACATCTATTCTGGTACTGAGGACTATTTTCCTCACATTTCTGTTTCAAAGATTTTACTGATTTTCAAGGAAAACACAAACATAAGCATTATCAAAATAATTTGTTCCCCTGCCTTCCCCTCCCCTCCCTCCAGAACAGAAGACTAATTCATCAAATGTTCTCTTTAAGTCTATGTGTGCAGTCGGTGGGTGCCATCGATCAGGGTGTTCATTTGAATATTTTATAAAGGAGTGCCTTTTTTTTAAATAATCCATATCAGATATGTCATTCAGGGCTTGTACTCTATTAGTTACGGTAGTTTCTCAGATAAAACAATTGTCCATACGTTCTGTTTCCATTGTGTCCTTTCCAGTTTTTTGCAACTACCAGAAGAAAGGTGATAAGTTCTTTGTGTAATAGGTTACATTGAAGATGGTTAATAAACCTAGGCATGGATTACATCGTATATTCTGGTTTGTGATTTTACCTATTTCTGTGAATACCTTTCCCAAAATAGTTGCACTAACTCACATGCACATGAAAAGTCGTACAGGTTACCTTGCACCCTTTTCCTTGCATTTCTGAGCTTTCATATTAAGGCAGCACTGGAGCAGGCAAGTAAGATTCTATGTAAATGTGCACTAGACAGCTTATTTGTGTGTTCTTATAAATCTAACTTAGATTTATTTATTTTTTAAACCCCATTATAGAAGGAAGTTTTCCGTGACCTTGGGCAGGGAGTTCTAGACAGCGCTTGGCAAGGTTACAATGCTACCCTCTTGGCTTATGGTCAGACTGGCTCAGGGAAAAGCTATTCCATGATTGGATATGGTGCAAACAGAGGCATAATCCCAGTGGTCTGTGAAGAGCTCTTTAAAACAATTCAAAACCAAGAGCAGAACAAGCAATATCAGGTTGGTTCAAGTTGTGTAAAAAGTTTGTAAATGCCAGCATTGCTGGATGCCTAAAACATATTCTATATTTGGGCAATATTAATTGCACTTTTTGTGTTTCAGGGGTGTATATATGTAAACCTAAATATATTATGCCATGGTGCTGAAGGATGAAACAGATTAGGCTCTAAAAGGAGCGATTCTGAGTGTCTAACCCATAGAGATTTAATCACATAAAGATTCTAGTGACAAAAAAGTCACAATTTCTATTACGGGTGTGTGTATGAAATCACATAAGCTGTATTAGTTTGTGGTTGAGAGTTGATCTTTTTTTAAAAAAACCGTTTAAAAAGCAACTTTTCAAGCTGTTGGAGTCTCAAGAGTGTGAATAAAATGCGATAAGGAAGAGAGAAACTGGGTGTGGAGGGAGTTGAAAAAACACTATAGCTGAGTAGGCTCAGTGCACTCAATGCAGATTGACACATGAAATTGCTGAATTTTGCTAAACTGATTTTTAAACTGTTCATAGTAGAAATGGCGACTTTTTGTATTTTGCTGTTCAATCTGCAGGTTACATTTAGCATGCTGGAAATTTACAATGAACAGGTAATTGCAGTAAATGACACTATTTCATTCTTTTATTTTTCAGTGTTTCTCCCCTAGAACCTATACAAGAAAGGATGTTTTCTAATAGCAGAGAACTTGAAATTTGTTCAGAAAGACGATAACATTTCAAAAATAAACCCAGTCATTTACACCCATGTCATGTGACACTGCACCAATCTTGCATATTCAAGATTGGATGGGGTAATAATAATAATAATAATAATAATAATAATAATAATAATAATTGCTTGCAGAAGCAGGTTTTGGCGAGGGGAGGGAAAACACCTGTATAAGTAGCCTACTTTCAATGTTGTGTGGGCCAACACTATTGTAGTCTCATATTTAGAGAAGTAATGCCAGACTAATAGCACTTTGGGTGAGAGGTGAGAAACCATTTCTATACTAAACTGCTGGATTCTCATTCTTTAAGTATTGCTGCTTCCACAGGCTTGTATACGTAACCAAAATATTTCCCTCTTTAATCTACAAGCTCCATCCTCTGAGGCTAGTATCGGATGCATTGTAGGCTGTCCATCTCCTTGTGTTAGCTGAGTAATGAATTGACCTTATAGCAAACTGGCAGTCTCGGTCATGTGCATTTAGCTGAAAAGTATTGAGTATATTCAAGTTCCTACAAGTGTGATGGCTATTATTGGGAATGTTATTATTAAATATATATATATTGTAAATGTTCTGTATAGTTTGGGAAGCATGTGGGGAGAATCATATGTACACAGTGTACATGCACAAACATTGTACAGTGGTACCTCTGGATGAGAATGGGATCCGTTCTGGAGCCCCGTTCGCATCCTGAAGCGAACACAACCCGCCTCCATGGGTCACGATTTGCCGCTTCCGCACATGCGCCTGACGTCATTTCGAATGTCTGTGTATGCGCAAGTGGCAAAACCCGGAAGTAACGCGCTCCGTTACTTCCGGGTCGCCGCGGAGCTCAACCAGAAAATGCTTAACCTAAAGCTACTTCAACCCGAGGTATGACTGTATTTATTTCTCATGTATATGCACATGTTTACTTCAGATCACATGACTCCTCGAGAGTATCCATATTTCCTGCCAACTTGTCAGTTCTACAGAGTTGCAATTGTTTTATAAACCATGAAATGGGCCTGTGTTCTAGCTACACATACCAAGGGTGCAATTATTTTTGTCCATGAATGAGATTATTTGATGTGTTTTTGTGGCATTACTGCAAGTATTTTTAAAAAATACTTCTGAAATATACTGTTCTTTTGCCAATTAATCCTAACTATATACCCAATTATATATATATAAAATCTTGTTAGGAACTCACCTTCTTTTCAATTAAAAAAATACTCCAATAAAGACACTTGTTTGCAATCCAAGGTTATAGACTTGCTCTCTAAAATCAAGAAGCGGGGTGGACTCAAGTTACGGGAAGATCAACAGCAAGGCTTCTATGTGGATGGCTTGAAACTGGTGCCCTGCGACAGTTATGCACAAATTGAGAGGCTAATGGAACAAGGTACCAAAATAAGAACCACTGCTTCAACCAGCATGAATGCCACCAGCAGTCGCTCTCACATGGTCATCACCATTCAGTTCAAACAGGTATGTGCAAAACATTTTAGGTATGGCCAAATGGATGTAGAGAGTTAGATCTTAAAGCATTGGATTCCTTGTGAGGTTTGTGTTATTTCCATGGATATATTGTAGACCAGACCATCAAAACAAAGGACTGCTTTAATAGGTCATGCATAGCGATCCTGTGGCAAGAGTGGCACATGCGAGAGTTTCTAGCACATGGCGGACAAGATCTGAGAGTGGAGCTGCTATCTGGTATTTTGTGGACTTGGCTTGTGGCACACCATTGTCAAAATCATTGGCTTGGATGTTAAGCAATAACATTAAGCCGGCCCCTGCCATGGTTGACAAGAGGGAAAAATGACTTGGGGGAAGAGGGATTCTAGAACCACTAAACAGTTTGCAACATCTTTTGTGTTAGGTTTGCAATTTCAAGAATTGGTTTTGCATGTTTTGAAATCTGGGATACTACTTATTTTGTTTTGAGCCAACAGAGTTTTGCTTTGATTGGTTAGAGCCCTATCAACTTGTGAAGCATGTACTATAGTTGGATGTGCTGAGTCCAGTAGTAATGTCTCCTCTGCAAATGCTGGTTGAGAGGAGGAGAACTTAAAAGACTTGCACTGATGAAGTTCCCCTTCTCTCCTTTCCCCAATGCTGCTTCTTGTAGATTTTTCTTAGAGAAGACATCACTAAGCAATCCATTATAAATCTGGTAGACTTGGCTGGAAGTGAAAGACAAAAATCATCAGGATCAGAAGGAGACAGGCTGAGAGAAGGGTCACGTGTAAATCTAAGTTTGACCACCTTGGGAAATGTTATCAGGTACAAAATAGATTTTGTGAAGTGACCTAACCATCCCTTGGGTATTGCATGAATAGTAACTTTCAATTAGATGATAAGCATCTTAGGGCAGGCTCCTGTCTTTTTGCTCATTAGTCTTTAAAGTACCAGGTACATATGATATTTTTTTTAAAAAAATCCTTATAGTAAACAAAGCTTCCAGTCTTAGAAATCCAAACTTAGAAACTTCCCTGAGTAGTACACCCTTATTTCAAAGATAAGAGAATCTCACTTTTCTGTTAATTTCCTTTAACAAATAATTTTCCTTTTGACAAATAAATATTTTAATGTATTATTTGGGATATTAAACTTTTTAAGTACTGCCACTTTTTTTTAGCATTTCCTGAACATCAGCCCACATGCCATCTAGTGACCTTAAATGACTAATTCTCATATGTAACAGTAACAAATAGAAACTCTTGTGCTCTTTAGCTTTGCAACATATTCAGTGAATATGGTACTCAGATATATGATTGATTTATTTTAAATAAATAAATCTCCTGTTCACTCTCTTTCCCTTCTATCATTTATTGTTCTTCTAGTGCCCTGGCTGAGGCTGCTGTAGGGAAGAAAGTATTGCACGTCCCATATAGAGATTCAGTTCTTACAAAACTCTTGCAATCTGCTTTGGGAGGAAACAGCAGAACTATTATGGTAAAGCTCCCCCTCCCCCCCGGTAAATTTAGAAAATTATAGCAATTTCCCCCACTAGAAGATAAAAATGTGTAGTTTCTTGTTCTGTAAACACATTTGAGACAGTGTACATAATTCTGTGTTATTTGCTGTTTGGGTGCAGTAAAAAGGACTGAAAAAATCTGAGACACTGGCTACTTGGGAGTTGGATGCTGATTACATCACCTAGGAATGAGAAATATTTCTCCAGCCCTGGCTACTGAACTGCATTTGCATATCTTATCCTCCCCCATCCCCAATTTCAATCACTGAGAGGCATTTAGAATTTCACAGCCAGATTCTCTTAAGCCGTTATCTGGGCAGGTATATCATCTGAAGTAAAAAGGCTGTTGTGTCTTGTCATGTTAGTGCTGCCTTCAGCAACCTGTAAAGCTCCAGATGTTTTGGACTACGGCACATACTGACTGGGAAGGATGGGAGTTGTAATACAAAACGACTAGAAGGCAACAGGTTACCGAAGGCTACATTAGTGATTCGTGAAACCGCTTTCTCCTGTATATGTGCAGTCAAAGCCATTCTTGGAACACAGGTGCTGTGTGGAAACATTAATGCAAACTCCAAAATATGCAGTAAGGCAATTACGACCAGCCCATATGTCACACAAAAATGTGTTAAGCATTCCTGTTTTTCAGAACTCCAAATTAAGTTGAATGTGAAGAACAACAGGGCAGGGGGAAATAGGGAGCAAATCAAAAGTTGGCATGAAATTAAAGCCACAAAGTCTTTCTGCTTTAGAAAGTTTGTTTGCTAGTTTGGTTGTTCCTAAAAACGTTTCTCTACTTCTTATTTTGGAGGTTCTCCACCCATGCACCCCCACAATGGAGCAGCATGGCTTGCTATCTGTTTTTTTTTTTGTTTGTTTACAGTAATCTGAGAGGGGTTTATTTGGCTAAGAGGTCTGCCAGTTACCAATTCATATTCTATTAGTAGTAGTCACAGTAGAGAACAAATTACTGAAAAGAAACTTGTCCTTTAACATATTTGCAGATTGCAGCTATTAGTCCAGCAGACATGTGTTATGAGGAGACGCTGTCAACTTTGCGATATGCTGAGAGGTATATTGTTTTCACATCTTGTAAGAGAAGTGATTGGAATGGATTTCAAAGGAGAGCAAGAAATTAAATAATCATTAGCTGCTATTTATTTGTGTGGGCACATACTACCCTGTTCAAGATCTGATCCACTGTTGTCACCCTAGAAATGTTAGGTAAAGGTACCCCGGACCATTAGGTCCAGTTGCGGACAACTCTGGGGTTGCGGCGTGCTGCATCTTGCGCTATAGGCTGAGGGAGCCGGCATTTGTCCACAGACAGCTTCCGGGTCATGTGGCCAGCATGACTAAGCCACTTCTGGCGAACCAGAGCAGCAGACAGAAATGCTGTTTACCTTACCGCTGGAGCGGTACCTATTTATCTACTTGCACTTTGACGTGCTTTCAAACTGCTAGGTGGGCAGGAGCTGGGACCGAGCAACGGGAGCTCACCCCGTCATGGGGATTTAAACTGCCAACCTTCTGATCAGCAAGCCCTAGGCTCTGTGGTTAGTTTTAAATGCACACTCCTGAATTAGAGGTCCTGTTCCTTTTTCCAAACCAAGTTAACTTCTAGAACACATTTAGGGGATTTATATGGGATTGACTACTTTTTTGTGAATGGCCACTGTTAAAAATTTAATTATTACCATCTGAAGTTTTCTACATTTCGTTTATTTCTAAGTGCATTTGTTCAATCCTGTGTGTATATTTATCTGCAACTCATAATAATGTTTCATGCATTTGATGGGGTGAACTATACTCCAGTAAAGCTTAAGCCATAATAAATTTGTGAGTCTTCAAGCTGCCACAAGACTTTGTCTTAGTCTTGCAGCAAAAAGTAACATGGGAACCCCTCTGGAAATTAAGTCATTATTGTGTTTTAATTATATCTCATGTCAATCCTTTGCTGCAGCCCAGGGAAAAGGGAGTGTTGAGGAGGGGAAGCAATTTAAGGGAGACTGGGATGTGTTTTTTCTCACTGTCTGGAGAAAGAGAACTGGGCTGGGCTGCTTATTATCTTACAAGAGGAAACAAAGGCCTTACAGCACACAACATATCATGTTGCCATGACTATTGTTTTTGCATCCTCCAAATTGCCACTGAAGCTTCGTGGAGGTATGTTTCATTTGATTATGTTATTTGCTTTTGCTATACAGCACAATAATAGTCGTTGTCCCCCACCCCCCAACCCCGTTTTTTTTTTAAATCTGAAAGAACCAAAAAGATAAAGAACAAAGCCGTGATAAATGCAGGTCCAACTGCGAAACTGATAAATGAGCTGAAGGCAGAAAATTGTCATCTGTTGTCCAGATTGTCAGGCCTTGGAAACTCTGGTAAAACGGTAGCAGATGAAACAAGTAAGTATTCTTGAGGAAGAAACAACAATTATTGTATTAGAAGACCTCGTGTTACCATTCTGCTGCCTTTTCTACTGTTTTCCTTTTCTGAGAGACCTCTACAAAGTGGTGAGGCTTGGGTTCTGAGGCGTCTAGCTCAAGCACACTCTCTTTAGCACACTCCCCCACCCCCCGCCCTCCAACTACAGCCCCACAGAGGACGTACCATCTGTTACAGGAGGTCACCTAGCCCCTCAGGAGCAGGTTTCAGGGAGGTGGTGGAGAGGGCTGTAGTGGTCCTTGGAATCCAACCCATTGTTTTTAAGGGAATGTATTAAGGCGAACGGAGCTAGGTGTGTTATACCTGCCTTGGAAACAGGTCACTCACATGCAAGAGCTGAATGCTGAGGCATTTGGGGCCCACTGGGGTTGGCATCTTGCCTGCCCCCTTGTGGCAGCACTCCTGCAGCTGCCAGCTCCCCCATTTCTCCCGCAGGTTGACTCACGGGCTTTACCCAGCAGCAGTGCTGTAATGCACCGTTACAACACTACTGACACCAAGTAAGCCTGCTTGCTTGTGAGCATGAGTCTGGTAGCTATTCCACCTCTCCCTGTAGTGCTTGGTTGTGAGTGGACCTCAATGTAGCCCCCCTCATGCCCCCCTGCAGTTCCAGGTCCCCTCCCCCTTTCTGCCCCGCGATTGTGCCTGCGCTGGTGCCAGTTCTGTCACCACACATTGTACCCTCACCTGTCGCTGTGCCTGCGCTGCTGCTACAACGCAACAGCGGCGGTGAAGGCGCAGCGCCAGCTGTGAGGGTAACAGGGCTGGGTTGGCAGCATAGATAAACCCCCAGCAAGGCTGGCAGCAGCCCAGTGGTGGGGGAGGGTAGGCGGTCAGATGCACTGCCTAAAGCAAATGGCCTCACCACCACCCCCAATAACTAAAAACACGCTGAACCTCACAGGATTGGTGCTGCTTGAGCTTCAGGCTGAAAAGGATTATTCCTTCTGCAAGCAGTGCAGACCTTGAAATACTATATAAAATACTCTACACCTGACCTTATAAGTAGACAACATTTGTAATACAGTGCCTACCACGTGACATAGGTAATGTGAGCCAAAGTTACTTCAAGGATCTCCAGTATGCATAAATTAGGGGTAGTAAAATAGATCCAGAAACCTTGCATCAGTTTTTCTGGTAGGATAGAAGCACTGGAACATATGGCTAAAGTTCCTAGCTATAAATATTTCACTAGTGCTTAAGAACTGTTTGTTTCAGTTACGGAATATATAAGAATCATAAATATCTGAGTATTTCAAGCCTGCTATTTCAGGGTGGCTTGAAGAAGGGACCGCAGAATTCATTTGGAGAGAGAAAGAGTGAACGCTGTTTATAAACTGGATTTTTATTGTTGTTGTTTTCATATTGCATCCGTAATTAGTTTAGTTTTGTTTATTCTTTCCAGAAGAGCTTCGCTGTTTGCTAGCTGAAAATGAGCTGCGGATTCAAGCCATTCAGGCTACCTGGGAATATCGTCTGGAAGAAGCCCGGAAAGAATGGGAGCAGCAATATGCTGCAGTAACTCAGGTCAGGACGTCTGGACACTGGATGTCCGTCTCCACCATTCCTCAGCTTGAGAGCTTTCCCGTGTTTTTAAAGTAGCAATTGTTGGAGCAAAGTGCTGTACCATACAGTTAAATTCTGTTTTTCCTCCCAAAGAATCCTGAGGACTGTAATTTGTTAAGGGTGCTGGGAACTATAGCTCTGAAAGGCAAATTACAATTCCCAGGATTCTTTGACGGAAGCTGTGTACTTTAAATGTATGGTGTGCATACACCCCAAAACAGAGCTTTCCAAACTTCTCATGTTGGTGACACACTTTTTAGACATGCATCATTTCGCGACACAGTAAGTCATTTTTACTAGCAACCAGAGGTTAAACTACAGTGGTGCCTCGCAAGACGAAATTAATTCGTTCCGCAAGTTTTTTCTTCTAGCGAGTTTTTCGTCTTGCGATGCACGGTTTCCCATAGGAATGCATTGAAAATCAATTAATGCGTTCCTAGGGAAACCGACTTCAGACCAGGTCCGGGGACAGTCTGTCCCCCGACCTCTTCTGAAGGCTGGGGGGGGGGCAAGGGCTTTTCTTCCCACCCCCAGCATTTTAAAAAAACCCGGGACAGCGGAGGGCTTCTCCGCTGTCCGGGGCGATCTTAAAATGCTGGCGGGCGGCATTTTAAAATCGCCCCGGGACAGCGGAGGACTTCTCCGCTGTCCGGGGCGATTTAAAAGCCCCTGGGAAGGCAGGCAGGGGGGACAAAGACTTTTGCCCCCCGCCAGCCTTCAGAAGAGGTCCTGGACCTCTTCTGAAGGCCAGCGGGGGGCAAAAGTCTTTGCTCCCCCCTGCCTGCCTTCCCGGGAGAGCGGAGAAATGCAGCGCGTTTCTCCGCTCTCCCGGGAGGGCTTTTAAAGGCAGGCAGGGGGGACAAAGACTTTCGCTCCCCCCCCCGCCTGCCTTCAAAAGCTGTCCGGCCAAGGCTTCGCGGACCTCTCCGCAAGCAGCGGCAGCGCTGCCGCTGCTTGCGGAGAGTTGCCGGCATGCCGAATCCTGCACGCGCTGAGATCAGCGCGCCCAGGCTTCGCGGCCCCGCCGCCCGGCTTCGGGGCATCGTCCCGATGCCGGGCGGCGGGGGGAGAGGTTCCCGCCCCGCCGCCGGCATCGGGGCATCGTTCCCCGCTGTCCCAGAGATTTCCCTATGGGCTGTCGTCTTGCGAAGCAAGCCCATAGGGAAATTCGTTTTGCGAAGCGCCTCCAAAACGGAAAACCCTTTCGTCTAGCGGGTTTTCCGTCTTGCGAGGCGTTCGTCTTGCGAGGTACCACTGTAACCCCTTTCCAGCTCTGGGAGGAGAGTGGGGAGTGTTTGCGCAACACACTGCAGCCGACACACTAATGTGTCGCAACGCACAGTTTGGAAAGCTGTGCCCAAAATGTTCGTTTGATGTGGTTCAGAAAGGCCATCCTCTTCTGAATGTTTTTAAAACAATATGTACCTAATTAGCATGACTATATACCATGTACTTGGGAGACTTCTGCAAGCAGGCTTCCCCATTAATTTCAAGGGAGAGGGCAGCCTGTCATACAGAAAAGGATGCTTGCTCAAAACTTCGTTTCTTATTGAAATGAGTGAGAGAGCTCTTGCTGGTGGAGTAAGGTACTACAATACAGGTTGGTGCCTTCCACTTGAAGAACTTATTGGATTGTGGTGAGCAGTGGCTGATATATTAATAAGATTGAGCTATGCTTCTTATAGCAGCCACCACAGCAGCAAATAATAATAATAATAATAATAATAATAATAATAATTTTTATATCCCACCCTCCCCAGCCGAAGCCGGGCTCAGGGCGGCTAACAACAATAAAACAGTACAACAGTACAACACAACACAGCACTCTAAAATCATTCATTATAATGATTATAAATATTGGAATGTGTCACATTTTATTGGGTATAAAATGTTGCAGTGTGTGTGCTCAGAAAATATCGTTCTGTAGAACTAGTGTTGAAGGATGATTATTATTAATATTATTAATTTAATTTGTTAGTCTCTGTATCTTGCCCAGGGCAATCCAACGTGACTTACAAACAAAAAGAAGACACTCCACATAGATACTTTAAAACTAAGAGGGAAAAGTAATACATTAAAAACATGGATAGTTAAAGGCCAAAGGCCTAGATATAGAGGAAAGCTTTTGCCTGGCACTTAAAGATATAGAATGATGTCTCCAGGCAAGCCTCCCTAGGGAGAGCATTCCACCAACAAGTAGCCACCACCTGATTTTGTCCTTTCTCATGTTGCCACCCTCCGGACCTCTCGTGCAGAGGGCACATGAAAACGGGCCTCAGATGATGTTTGCAGGGGCCAGGTCAGTTCATATGGGGACTGTGTGCAACAAATTAAAAATGTATGCAGGCGTATGGGAAAGAGCAATTGTGAAAAAGGCCTCTATGTTTCTAATAGCTACAGAAACATGTATTTGGTCATGGGGCAGTGTGATCAGTTATCAGGAACCAAAAATATAGGAACAAGGAGTCCATGCAATTACTATCTAATCTTGAGAAACATAATAGTGACAGAATGACCTGGGGGCGGGGGGCGGGTAGGTGTCTAGGAATTCTTGCATCCTATGGTTACAGATAGCCACACAGATGCTATGTCCTGTATGAATTCTTACCTTTTCTTACATTTAACCTTGAGCATTTTAATTAAAGTAGCTAGATTTTTCATCAGAGGAAGAATTGCTAGCCTTGTTTATGATAGCAGGTGCAGTCTCTGGAAAGAAGAGACTAGTTATTTGGGAAGCCACATGTCACATATGCTGTTGGCTGTCATTTAGTGGGAAGAGTGTGCTGAAATAAGGTTTAATTAATTCCACAGGAAAGATGGATGATGGAGACATGTCCTTATCTTGTGAATATCAACGAAGACCCTCAGCTGTCGGGCGTTCTCAAATATTTCATTCAAGACGGTATTATTTTGTTTAAGTGCTAAATGTGTGTTGCTCCATTGGGTGATCCATTTTATATTATTACACATCTGAGTAATGTAACCAAAACAAGTGAGTCCTTTTCCAAGGAGGTTACAAACAAAACTTTTACCACTGGGGAGACAAGATGGAAGGGTGGAAAGAGTAATTCAATAGGGCAGCATATTTGCTTACCCACAGAATATTGAGTTATGTAACAGCATACAAATGCTTAAAATAAAATGAGATTAATATGTACAATTTCAGTGACGCATTCTTTTAAATGTATACCTTATTCTAGTTTATTGTCTAGCATATTGATAAAGCTTTTTCTTTTTGTAAATTAACCAACTGCAATTATAGCTCCCAAATAAGCTCACTGCTAGCCACCCAGATTGTTCTTGTCTTTAGCATTTCACAGGGAATCGTGTTTATATACACCGTAAAAAAGATGTTCACCACAGTTTTCCAAAGCAAAGTTTACACAGGAAACATTTTATTTCAGGTTCTTCAGATGTTGGTCAGTCATCCTCAAATGCAATAACTCTCCGAGGTTTAGGGTATGTAGACGAGCTTATTCCTTTTCTACAGGAAATTTCATCAACAGTGTGGTAACTTTTTTTGGTTTTGATTATAATTAGTTGGGAGGGAGATAGAAACAATAAATATGATACTAGATTGGGGTAGGCAACCTTGTTGGAAAAACGCCCAGGAAGGCTGCCACCTTCCCAAGACACCGGGGCGTCTCTCCGGTGGTCACCCTCTGGCTGTAAATCTTCCTCAGTCCAGAGAGACCGATGATAAGCGACCCCTCCCTCCTGAGAGGAGCACGCTCATCTTCTGGCATCTCATTGCAGAAGAAAGAAACAATCGTAGCCTTAAAACTACTTTATTCAACAGTCTATATACAGAGACTCCATCAGCATGTCTGCTCTCTCTCAGCAGCAACATCTCAAACAGAAGTGAAAGTAACTTCTCTCAGTACTCCAACAGTAATGAGACTTCCTGTCTCACACTCTCAGACACTCACATGATATAAACAACCATAGTGCTACTTGCTGAGCAGCTAGGGAGATAAAAATCCAAACAAACCTAAGGCCCGTGGGCCGGATGTGGCCCAATTGCCTTCTCAATCTGGCCCATGGACGGTCCGAGAATCAGCGTGTTTTTACATGAGTAGAATGTGTCCTTTTATTTAAAATGCATCTCTGGGTTATTTGTGGGGCATAGGAATTCATTCTTTTTTTCCTTCAAAATATAGTCTGGCCCACCACATGGTCTGAGGGACGGTGGACCGGCCCACGGCTGAAAAAGGTTGCTGACCCCTGTGCTAGATGATGCTTACTAAAGTTATTATCTGTCTCTGTCACTAAGGCTCTGTCTAACATTGCAAGATATTTCATTCAAAACTTTGATGTGGGTTTAATTTATTGCTTTCTCTTAGTTTGTCTTGGATCATTTGGCCTTTTCTATAAGTGAGGGTCATATAACCCACTGTGTTTACGTGGTTGAGAAGTGGGAATGCCAAACAAACTTGAATGCAGCCTCAAACACACAAGGGACCTCATTTCCTCTGCTTATTGTAACTGGGGTTTTACACCTATTTAATGCCTACTTTTGCATTAAAATATATAATAATATTAATAACCACTTGTCTATCTAACCCATTTAACTGTTTGTTCCATATGGTAGGGGCTCTCCAAGGTTTTAGGCAGATTTTTTAATGAACCTTGAGATCTTTTCATTGGGGATAATGAAGGATCCAGCTTAGGACCTGTGTCTTGGAAAGCATCTGGACTCTGAGCTTGAGACCCTTCCCATCCACTTCCCCTTGTGTCTTATTCCAAATGGTGCCTTACTTCTCCTTCCCTATTTTTTCTAGAAATGAAACAATGCTAATTTTACTCTGGTGGTGCAGTGAAAGATGTCTGTCACGATTTTGAATAGCTTGCTTTACAACTGTCTTTCAGCATTTTGGATAAGCATGCAACATTCACAAATGCTGATGGTAAAGTTACTATAACACCTCGGGATAAGTGTAAAGTCATTGTTAATGGTGTCCCCATTGCTGTGAAAACTAAACTGCAGCATCTGGTAAGTTCTTTGTTTGTAAACAATTTCCCCATGCTTTGGTGTACTGTGGATATAGCTCAGTTTCTTAGCTATTACACTAACTCTTGCTGTGTAAAGACCAGGTTTCTGAAGACAGCTTTCAGGCTCTGAAAATATAATTAAATATAATGCTTAACAACCAACTGTGCAGTAGAAAGGCTTTCAGCAAGCCCTGTATACTCAATCCCTCAGGACCGTATTATTTTGGGGTCAAATAGTGCATATCTCTACATTGGACCACCTTCAGATCGCACCAGCGAGGACCTGACCAGATACGATTATGATTTCATTCAGTCAGAGTTGGCAGCAGCAGAAGGTTTCAGTGTAGATAAACTTGGTAAGCACTACAATATATTAGTTTTCTTATTGCCTTTCTAGATTTGTTGCTCATGACTTATTTGTTATTTTATTACACCTTAATATTTCATGGTAAGCTACCTACCCTGATAACTTGATTGAAGGGTATGAATGGCCCACCTATTAATCCTAACACAAATTAAACATGGTGCTAAATTAATATGCTATGAACAAATCTGGATTAAGGTAGTTGGGGCCCCTAGTGCAGTTCCCAAAGGAAGGCACCCCCTATCTCCCCCCAAAAAGGAATGCAAGAAATAAAGTATCCAAGAATACATCTTGAAATATATTAAAGACTAACACATTAAAGACACACACACACACACCTTAATAAAATTAGCAAAAAAGAAAATACTTTAAGCACGTGCAGTTTCGTATTTTAAACTGCTCATTGTTTTTGCTCACTTCCTAACTTGGGTTGGTCACCAGCTCACATGACTGTTCTGCAGGAGGCATAAAATGGCTGCAAAAGGGGACCTAAGTACTTTCATCATAGGCATCAAATTTTGCTTCCTTTAATCAGAGTGATGTATCTTTGTGTTATAAATGTCCATATTTTTCTGGGTAGTCCAACCCTGCCAATTAGTACAGTTCCAAGACTTAATCTAGCAAGATTATTGTATGTGTCAACAATGCACAAGTCCAACTTATGTTCAGTTGCACAGCAGCTGAAATTTCAATAACCTAGTCATTTATTTCTCTGCCATAACCATGAAAACTGCTCTTGCCTAGACTTGATGATAAGGTGCTTTCCCCCCCCTCAGGTGCTGCAAACAGGAAGGATGGCAAGCCAGATCCCAGTGTCCTTGCTGTGTTCCATGATTATCTTAAGTTAATGCCTTTGGTTGCTGAAGCCAATCAAATGAGTGTGGAGCTGAGAAAGGTAAGTTTGCGTGTGCCATTGTTCACTGCAGGCGAAAGTCATCCTGTTAGTTCAGCAGACCTGATAGTCCACTGATTACGCCTGTTGGGTAATTCTGTGTGTCCCAAACCAGAGATCATCACATGGAACTATGGGAAATAACAGATTTATTTTCTTCAGAAGAAAAAGCTCCTCCTGTAGGGCTGAGAATAAAGCTTGCAAGCCTAATTCTCAACCCTGTACTGCATGGTGAAACAAAAGGAGTACATAAAGTGAATGCCTCTTACAATAGAGAGGGGCTGCATTTAACAATATGTGTTTCCGAAAGTGTGTTCAGGGGTTGGACTAACTTGTCCAGTGCCTTTGATGATTTTTGTCTCTCTGCGTTTGGGTCTCCAGCCTGTGCTGGTGCTGCAGCTATCTGCATAGCTACATTCCCTTGATGGGTTACATTGCCTGCATTGTTCAATATGTACTACGTTGTATTGTGTTGCAGGATGAGGCCTAATTTTCTTTTTTTGAGGGGGAGATAGCGGAAGTCCGCTGGTGGAATTTTTCTCCATTTTCAGAAATATCTGAAATATCACAATTTATGATTTTGTCTCTCCTAGAAAATAAAATTACATTATTAGACAGGAGATGGCAACCACAAGAACTACTTGGCATCTCATTTTCTTTTCTTTTTTGCAAGATAACTGCCTTTGCTGTGATTTAGTCTAGTTCTTTAAACTGTGAGAGAGCTTATCTATCTATCTTACCTATTAAAACCCTACTGTTTATGTCATCTACCTCTTACACCATTAAAAAGGAATTTGCACTATAGTGGTATGCATATATACCCAATTTTAATGATTCTTGAGACATTTGTCTATTTTAGCTTTCCAAATTGAAATCTAGTCAGCTATTCAGCCACAGAAAAAACATTTTTGATAAGGTGTGGTTTCTTTTTTTTTTTAACAGGACCTAATTTTGGAACTGAAAGTGAAAAATTTGGCTTCCTCTGACTCTAGAGGCTATGATCTGCAAAAGGAGATCATAGTTAAAGTGGCGCACAGAGTTACAAACCAGGTAAAGTAGTCTCAACCGTTAGTCATGGCAAGTTGTATTGAGAAAGACTATGGTGCGCGCTTCACAGGCTATTCTATTTTACACTAGCTGGGCTTTCCCTGCCCATCCAAAGTCCTCCCTGCTACTGTCTCAATGGCTGGTTCCAGTTTGACAAGGGAGGCTGCTGGTTCTGTTGCCAAAGCCCCAGATCTGGTCTCCCAAGTTTGTCCCCTTCTCTGTGTATTCTTTGTTCAAGACATGTGCAACCCATAAGTCAGCTTTTTTGAAATACAACTTAGTTTTTACAGTATGAACCTTATGATTAGAATAATTCAAGTTACCTCATTTCTCTAGATATGGGTTTGGTCAAAACCCAAGTTCATCAACAGGAAGTTTTTAATGGAAGAGCTCTATCAACGTTTCTTAGATGGAGAAGATGTGCAGGTTGACAAAGAAAGCGATCCATTCTGGGATCCCGTGGAAGTAATCCATTTAGGATCTGCTCACATCTGGCTCCAGTCCCTTGCTTATTGCATGAAACTTGAGGAACAAACAGAACTCCTGAATTCTGAAGGAATGGAGGAAGCCATCATACTTATCAATATCATTCCATGCTCTCCAAATGGCAGGTGAGCACCTGCTGTTTTGTTCTCTTGAAAGGCTACTTGGGCTTAACTTGAAGATTTATGCCTGTGCCTTTAAAACAGGGGTTGCTAACCTGTGGGTTTTAAGGCGTTGTTGGACTACAACTCCCATCATCCTCTACTATTGGCCATGGTCTGATGGAGTCCAATAACACTTGGAGGGGCATAGGTCAGCCACGCCTGCTTTAAAAGCTGTGATGCACCAAGAAATTAGGCAGCTGCTGTGCCTTCCCCTTCCCTCACTGATTTGCCAGCCCCATTGCTAACTTTCCTCTCCCATTTGTTGTACAAGAGACACAACTTTAGGATGTGTAGAGGCTGATGGAGCAACGGGCAGAAGACGGGAGGAGAAACTGTATTGCAAGTTAGATTGGGACCCTTGCTGGACCTAATTAGCTGTATAGTCCAGAGTGCAGTGCTGGTTTAGAGGTACATCCAAATAAGATCAAAGTCACTACCATTTTGCATATTAATTCCAGTTTTCCCCATTTTATTTTTAAATAGAGCCTTTGGAGAGGACGATATGGTCATTGATCCTTTGGAATTGCTGGGCAAAAGAATTGATTTCCAAATTCACATTTTACAATGCCTTGGAGTCAAATGGATAAAAGAAGTGGCACAGAGAGGGATTCAGATTGGGTATTGTTAGTTTAAAGCTTCCTGTGAAATATTCTCAGTTTGGCTCTTCGGAGTGAATAACAATTTCACAACAGTTTTTTTGGGGTTTTTTTGTAAACTTTACCCAAGATAGTAATCTTTTCAGATAATGTTGGGTATCTGAATTTCTTCAGTTATGCACTTAAATCCATTCTTGACTTGCTGGTCTCTTTCCTGTTGTTGCTGATTTAGTAAATAATTTAGCTTTATAAATAATAGATTATAATGATCTCCACGGCAACTCCATGGGTTGTTGCAGGGTCAGCCTGTGCTTTTTTCAACTCCTAGTATTGCACAGCACTATAAACCAGGAGTAGGAAATAGGATGTCCTCCAGATGTTAATGGACTCTAGTTCTCATCAGCACTAGCCATCATATGCAGTGGCCAGGAATGATGGGAACTGGAGTCCAACATTATCTGGAGGGGCCACAGGTTCCCCATCCCCTATTTTATTGTTGCTAGCCGTCCTGAGCCCGGCTTCGGCTGGGGAGGGCGGGATATAAATAATTTTTTAAATTATTATTATTATTATTATCATCCCTGATCTTAATGAAGCTTGTTCAGAAGAACTTCCTAGTAAACTGTGTCCAGTGGACGCTAATGCCTGCTAGGTCAAGTAGTCAAGATTAGAACGGGTTTCTAATCAAGGGAAATGTATTTTTGGAAATTGTGACATTTTTGGCCCAAAAACAGTATTAAAAATGACTGCCATAAAGAAATTAAGAAACTATTTCATGAAATTTATTGGGCATGCAAGATTTTAAAAATTAACAAGTAGGAAGGAAAATCTAACCTTGAAATGTTGCTTCAAAATTGTCATATTTCTGTTATTTCAAGCAGTTGATCTCTTTGGACACAGACCTTAGTTTTTAATTGGGTCTTCGTTTGTTTTACTATTTTAGATATAAATTTTATGATCTCCCATGCTCATTATACACAAAGCCTGTTTGGAAAAATGTGAACCCGAAGATAGAAGAGCTAGTAAAATTTTCAACCCTTAATATGTCCCATGATTTTTTGAACTATTTGCAGAAAAATGCTCTAATTGTTGACTTGTGGGGGCTTCAAGGTATGCTTTTGACTTTTTATCTTGAAAAAGCTATGCATACACCTTTATGTTCAGTACTTTGTATCTAAAAGCATGGCTTTTGTTTGGAAAGATAACATAAAGTTGCCATGTACAAAGTCAAACGATTGATCCTTCTTGCCTAGGCTTGCTTACTCCAACTTGTGGTGGCATGGCATGTACATCTCATTAAACCACAGTTCAAGAATAGTTTATTAAGCCATAAGCTGCCCCACGGACAGTCAAGCAAACCTTTGTTTCATCATACCTTGAGTCATTTCCTCCCCTGGATATTTCCACCATCTCCTGTCGCTCTACCTACTATCCCAAAAATCTTTGTGGTGCCCAACTCATGGCTCTTCCTTTTTCCCATTCCTGTTAGACAGTGTGTGGAAATGTTCCTGAAGTTTTTAATCAGCTGTAATCAACAGCCAACTCCCTTTCCTTGCCCCATGAAGTTCTTTACAGAATTTATTTCCATTCCTCTCCTCCACTCCGTTGCCACAGCCTATCAGCTTTATTCCCCTACTCACCAATCACCCTGTTGTGTATTGGCCCTCCTGTCTTGTCAGACCAAACCTGCCTGATTCAGCTCTCAGGCACTAAAATGCTTTTAGTTGCTGTTCTGCATTACAAGCAGCAGGCTATGGCATGGTGAAAGCAAAAGGTCTTTCAAGCTGCCCTGCACCTTCTCCTTGAACCTCCAGCTTTTGCATGTTTACACAGCAGTATGGGGCTGTTTGTAAAAGGGCTTTCAAACAGTCCCATGCTACATTGTGAAGTCCTGACAATCAAGGCTTCAAAGCACCACATCATCTGACATCAAGTGATTGGCAGTTCACCCCTGCTTTTAATGTTAATCTCTGGTATGTGTTGTAACTGAATGGAAGGTTTGGACAGCTTTGTGGTGCTGCAAGTAAGGTCATGCGGACTTTTAGCCCTGTACAGTGGTACCTTGGGTTACATACACTTCAGGTTACATACGCTTCAGGTTACAGACTCCGCTAACCCAGAAATAGCACCTTGGGTTAAGAACTTTGCTTCAGGATGAGAACAGAAATCGTGCTCCGGCGGTGCGGCCGCAGTGAGAGGCCCCATTAGCTAAAGTGGTGCTTCCGGTTAAGAACAGTTTCAGGTTAAGAACGGACCTCCAGAACGAATTAAGTTCTTAACCCAAGGTACCACTGTACCTTGATTCTGTGTGGTTGGGCCCTTTATGATAGAATAAAGAGTGCTCAGTTATGCGAGATGCTAGGTAGACCTTGAGTTTAAATCCCCCTGGCTCTTCTTTACACTTTGAACTATTGACACAAAACATTTTGAACTCTTGCTGGCCGATTCTGTTTGTTCATTGTGAGACCACGACAGCTACAAGGCTTTGACCTATCTTATATTTAAAGCATTTAAAGTTAATTACATTACTCAGTGGCCACACTGTAACCCCACCTAGGACCAATGACTAGTCTAGTGCACTTGTTCTCCCAGGAGATGCTGGCGCCTGTATCCAGCACCCTGGTTTCCCTAGGATACCTTGCATGTGCAGTATCATAATGGCACATGTTAGACAGGAGTGGAGTGGCAGCAGACACCTGAAGCAGCAGAATAAGGTAGCTTTAGGGGAAAGAGGGGTAATTAAGGGGGGCTGATGATGCTCTTTCTAGGAACATGCTGTTCTTTGTTACCAATGTTTAAAGTGATATAGAATGGGAATGTGGGGGGTATAATCTATAATGGCAATATCTTCCCAATAATACAGAAGGATGTGCGCAACTGGATTCCTCTCGGCAAGACATGGCATTAACAAGGGAGAGCTCTATTATCATTGATAATCCCAGAGCTGAGGTTCTGAGACACACCAGTCTGGTACGTAAGTGTATTTTTGGTATTCTTGCATGTGGTCAAAGATCATAACCAAGCAGTGTCCCAATTTCATGTAGCTTATATGGCAGGTGTTTTTTTGCTACCAACATGAATTCCTTTCCCACTGCCATTGAGAATGGAAAAAGATCTAAAAAACCCCAGAAACAAACTTAGGGACAAAAAACTGATAACTATTTACTAGGGACAAATTCAAGGCAATAGGGGCTTTCCTTGTACATGGGGACAGCTGGAGGCTATGCAGCCATATGATGGCCAAATGTGCCATGAAACCAATACCATTTCCATATGAATTATTGCACATGTACACACTTATTTGTGATAAGAATTTCTTCTATTTTTAGGACACAGAAAACCAGATTGCTGAACTTTACCAAAAGCTGTTAAAACTAGAGCAAGAGACTGAACTGCTTAGAGATATTAACAGAGCTCTAAGGGAAGAAAATGTACTTCTGAAGGATAAATTGAAAGCGTGCGAGACAGAAACCCATAAAAGTAAGCACCTGACCCCTTTTAAAAAGGTTGCGGCGCTCATCTCACTTTACTGGCCGAGGGAGCCGATGTTTGTCCACAGACAGTTTTTCTGGGTCATGTGGCTAGCATGACTAAGCCACTTCTGGCGAAACCAGAGCAGTGCATGGAAACACTTGTTTACCTTCCCACTGGAGTGGCACCTATTTATCTACTTGCACTTTGACCTGCTTTCGAACTGCTAGGTTGGCAGGAGCTGGGACCAAGCAACAGGAGCTCACCCCGTCGCGGGGATTTGAGCCGCTGACCTTCGATCGGCAAGCCCTAGGCTCAGTGGTTTAGACCACAGCGCCACACGACCCCTTTTACTTCTGCTTTAATTATGTTGAATTTGACCCTCTTCGGCTGCAATCCTGAGGGGGGGGCGGAGGGGGAACTGAAGGCTGTTTAATTCCATACCCTGAGACCCACTGGGTCGAACTGAGGACGGAGGAGCATGCTTATATTCCCTCAACAATTTTATAGTTTGTTTTTAAACTATAAGCTATAGTTTGGTTCTAATAGGAAGGAAATACAAGGGAGAGATATTTACATCAGCTCCTAAGCTAGTTTAAGCGTCTTTCTGGTTTGGAGATATGTCAGGTGGCTGAGGCAGCTTTGGATCTTTCAAATTCAAGCCATTATCTGGTTCTTCCTCTCCCTGTGACATGCTCGCTACTGGGCCTACAGATGTCAGAGCTCCAATGCTGGTAGGCTCAGGGTGTTGGAGGTTTCCTTGGTAGCAGGAAGGGAGGTTCCCCTCCCTTATGTAGGAGAAGGGAGTACCAGTGTACACTATGTCCTCTTGCATGCCCTCCCAGGGCCATAGAATTGCAGCCATAGACAGACAAGACGTTATAAAAAATAGGGGGTCGGGAACTATGAAATAATAAGCTCATGAATATGCAAATAAGTGGCTCGCTCTAAATAGGGCAAGCACGCCCCCAGCACGATTGGCTGGCTGGGAGTGCCATCGGATTCCTGTTCTGGGGGGCTGAAACCGCCAGGAGAAGATTCCCCGGCATGGCTGGCATTGTGCTGCGAAGCACGAGCAGGAGCCCGCCCGGCGCCGAGATATTGGGGGGCTGAGCCCCCATGAGGGGCTCGAGCCCTCCATGGAGTCTGCGCCTATGCATAGAGCTACTGCTGATATTACTTTAATACATGTGACAGCGGCTATGTTCAGATGAGATTATCATGCTGATTTATTTAGTGGCCCACCTCAAGGTCTCACATCAATGCATATTAATGCACAATTTGTTTATCTATGTAAAAATGTTTTACATGTGTTGTGCAAGATGTTCTGGTTGTTATAAATAATCAAAACCAGGATTATTATTTTTTACATCTGTTGATTGAAACTCAGGACAGGAAGTTGGCCTTGCCCCTGACTGCAAAAGTCTGCTAGTAACTTCAAATTTAAAAAAGTTTTAAGAGGAAGTGAAAATGAGAATAGAGCTGCAAGTAAAAGCCAGGAATCTCAGCACCATTGAGTATGGAGCATTTAGCTTTCGCATACCTTTTTGTACATATTGCTGGAGGGGGGCAGCAAGAACACCAAAATTCTGGCCGTAAGTGGCTCTTTCCTTTTGTCTCTTGATACTAATCTTCACATCTTCCTGTTTTAGGTAAGATCTTAAAATCTCCTACAAAACCCCAAGCTGCTAAGGTAACTCAATCAGCGTCAAAGGATTCTCGCCCAGTTTGCAATTCTCGGATGAGCTGCGATGCAGAATTTGCTAAAGCCCTCAAAGCCTTCTACCAGAATATGAATGTGATCAGAGGCCAGTTTTTGAAAATAAAGCACTGCAGAGCTCCGGTATATATATCTTGATTCTTAAAAAGAAAGGCTGAATCTATCCTTAATTCCCCCCCCAAAATTAATAATCAGTACAATCCTTTTGAAAATATCTACAGTGAACCAGGAGAAAACCCTCCCAGGACTGTAACTTTCCTCTTTTGCTGCTCTCTAAATTGTACGGCTCTAAGAATGCCCAAGTGTTCCTCACACCGAGGAGCCAAATAATGAAGTACTTAATGTTTTCCAGGCTTGTAAATATATTATATTGCAGGGCACATGCACCTTGTGTCCAATGAGAGGGTTTTATTTACGAAGGCTGAAACTGGGACACAGGAATGCAGAGTGCGCCTCTGCTTTCACTTCCATTGTCAAGACTAGAAGAGCTTTTGAATAAAGCTGTAGAACTGCCTTCATAGTTCACCCCCCACTTAGGATTTACTGTTGCTCGGGTGTGTTCTTCCTTACTGAGTTAAGTTACCTATATGCTGGTGTAAGCTATTCTTTCCTTTTCACACTGCAGCTTCTGTATTTCATTTCATTTCCAGGAAGAAGATAATGTGCAACTACTTCGACATTTTGCTGAGAGACAGTCACACATGTTAAAGGACTTTGGAGAGCAACTTGAGTCAAGTATAAGTAAACTGAAAAATGATGTTGCTTTGATAGTTAAAAAGAAACGGGAGAGGCTAGGTTGCAGCAAACCATAAAGTCATTGTATGAAATAAAACAGTAGTGTTTCAGTATAATTGTAACTGCTAAAGCATATGTTGTTTTGTGTCACTACAAATTAAGAGCACAACTTATGTATTTACCAGACCCACCCTGGACACAGCCACAAGAGGGGAATAATCTAGTTCCAGGGTATGATCTGAAGGCACCTGAGGCTGTCTCCTTGCTGAAGCTGAGCAGGTCAGGATCTGGTCAGTGCCTGGGGGGGTGACCCATGATGGAAGAAAGGTGGGGTAGAAATGTAAGAAAATAAGTAACAGTGCATGGGAGCATTAGAATGTGCTGGTCATTATGTACCATATATCTACAAAAGTGTTCCTAAGCTCCCTGTGTGTAAATTACTCCTGCTGTAACTCCTGAGAAGGAAGTAGATGGGAAACAGCTGTGGGTCTGCCAGTTCTGAACAGTTTCGGGCATTGTACTGTCTCTGTGGTAGGAGAGTGACAGTTCCATTGACCATTGTACTGTTCTTCTCACACTGACATAGGAGGAATTGTTCCATCAGGAATGTCTATACACTTTTTCAAATTTATGCACTAATGCCTTATTCAGAATAATCAGTGTTGGAATACTGATCAATATTTGGAAAAGTCGTTTGTTCTCTATGTTAGGACACTTCTCAATATAGGGGTGCCAAACGTGGCACAAGGGTTTTTGAGGGGGGAGGTAGTAGGTTATACTGCCATTTGGACACCAGGTACCATTTTGAATCAAGGTGGCGGACTTAAATGTGACTTTGGCGTTACATTTATTGGTCTAGGTTTTCTGCCTCTTGAGGTGTTGTCACAAAATTCAAGTACAAGGGTTCCTGAGGTGCGGATGGCGTCTCTGTCACTGTTTGGGTGCTGGGCACAATTTTGTTCCAACTGCTGGACCAAAATATGACTTCACCTGATTTTTGGTGTTACGGGTCCAAACTCACAAACTGCACGAGCCATTTAAAAATCACAGTATTTTTTGGTTTCTAAAAATACCTGGGCAGCCCTGTGCACTTCCTGCTACTTAACTGAAAAACATTTGGGAATGTAATTGGGTTAGGGGTGATGCTTTGCTTCAGTTTTAGTAAAATTTTATTTTTTAAGCAGCGTGTCACATTATTTGGGATGGTGCAGTCATCACCTGGATGTCCTCTTAATGTTCCTTAAAATAGCCCCATGCTTTTGAAGGTAGCAATTTGTGGAGGGGAGGCTACAGCAGCTAAAAGGTAAAAGCAGAAAATCATTTACACAAAAGGGCCCTTGCTGTTATATGCAATACCCTTACAGCATCTTAGCTGTAATTTGGGCTTAAAGGAGGGACTTAACTTGTATTCTCGTTCCATTACATGGTCTACTAAAATTACAGTGGATTATTGCTTAAGGCATAGCTTATTCTAAGCACATTAGATAATGCTAATTAAAATGGTTGACTTTTAAGTACAGTGATCTGTGTTGAGTTAAACAGAAACCAAGCAAATTTGTAACCCTCTTTTATTACACTGAAAAATGAGAACAAAGGGAATTAAGTGCGAGAAATCTTTCTTCCTTTCACAACGACATATTTCCCCTGCCTTGAGGATGTCTCAGTACACAGGAAAGGAATGTTACCAATTCAAGCAAGAATATTACTACGCTCCCCTCCACCAAGCTCATATTGAAAAAACACTGCAGGCAGAGTCCAGCTAAGTACCATGAGACCTAACTTAAGCATAATGAATTGGTTCCATTAACAAGAGAACTATGTTTTATCAGAGAAATTGCAGTTGTCAAGGCGACGTGATCCCAGTCTATATGAGTGTAAATTACAGTATTAATCACGAGAAGGTATAGCAAGCTAGGGAAACCTGTCCGAAGGAATGCCTACGCAATTTACTGAAGACACCCTTTTGCTTTTTCAGTTTGCTTTCTCATTACTGATCTTCATAGGGAGTTAATTGGTTAAGGCACAGATTTTATAGTAAAGTCAGCTTTCACAATTCTGAATAAAAATACTGCAGTTGTAATTTGTTACTGATTTTTTAGTTACCACAGCTAGTTCAGTCAAGCCCTTGAGTCTAAAAAGCACTATTATTTAGCACTATTAATAGTTTTCTTTTCAATTAACTATTGCTGTGCTACAGTGCACATTTTCAGTAGTAAAAGTTCAGTCTTGCTTCCATTTTGAGCAACAATATGAAACATGTTTTCACATTACATAAGATTATGTCAGTATTTTATTAAATTTAGCAACCATTTGTAGCTGATCTTTTTGGTATACAAGTACCAGACAAAGATTTGTTGGTCATGCAGCCTTCAGGATGTTTTTTCTTGTTTCAGACTTCAGGCTGGCTAATGACAGAAAACTCAATTCCATGCTGCTTGAGCCTGTCAATAAGTTTTGTATTGGAGAATGCAGCCCCAGGAGAATAGACACCACCCCTGTAAAACAGCCACACATTTGGGGTTAGTGACATGTAGCTGCAAGCAAGCTTAACACTTATTATGAACAAATACTTACTGAAAATGGGATAGTTAAGTTCCACGCCCCCCTGTGAACCTTCAACAAATGTTTAAGTTAATTCATGAACTATGCATAGAAAAGCTTAATAATGTAACTGAGTGAAATACTTTGTTATAGTTTTTAATACTGAACTTGACAAGAAATTTTACTATTTCTTAATAAATATTGGGATTTACAAACCATTAAATGACCTAAAGCTTGCACCTTACGACATGAATTAAGGTCATTTGCAGATATAATGGCATTTATCACCCAAGCACTTTTTTACATGTTTGCAATAACTCAACTTGAGAGAAACTTTAATGCTTTTAATGCAAATGCTGGCTGACAAAATGAGAGAAAAGGAAGTTACTACACCATAGAACTGTGTAGTGCTTTCAATCACTTTGCTTACTTTCATGCTAATATATTATTTATTCAATTGTATCCCATCCTTCCTCCCAAAGAGTCCGGGAATGGCAAACAAATGAAATGGTAAGAATACCAAGATTTTTTAAAAAGAAAGAAATCAGATACAGTACTATTACAGCCAAATAATTTAAAGGCTGCTAGGAACCCTGAAAGTGTAAGCTATTTCACATCAAGAAAATTAAGACTTACTTTTTAGGAAGAGAAGGCTTGTCCTTCAGAAGTGCCACAGCTGCCTGAACCATTGCAATGGGTGTAGCAACATAGCCAGCCTCTACAAAAATATGCGGGAGGGGAAAACACTTCAATTACATTCATCATTTTGACTCTTGGGCTGGGGAGGTTTGTTTGGGGGGGGTTGTTGCTGTTGGTTTTCTCTATCTTAATTTTAGAGCTTATGCGCTATGTGGAAATTGTTCAGCAAGGCTGTGTATTTTTTGACATTTTATTTATTGTTTATGACTACTTTTGTTATGTTGCAGTTATATACTTTTTCATGTTGTAAGCTGCCTTGAGTGTGGTTTGAACTGTGGACAGGCAGCATGCAAATAAAATTACTTCTGTTTCTATCATTTCTAGAATTACCTTTGATTCAAGATTAAACATCTCCCTAAACACTGGGCCAGTACCATCTAGCTAGCATCCCTCTCCACCCCCCCGGGCTGTAAATGTATGTACCGTTTGCTTAATTTTCAGCAAGTATATAAACTAAACATGTGACAGTAACACACACAATCTAAATCTCCCAATAACCTTATGAACAGTACATAAAGAAGTCATCTGCCCGTTTCAATAACAAATCACAGTACAGTGGTGCCCCGCAAGACGAATGCCTCGCAAGATGAAAACCCCCGCTAGATGAAAGGGTTTTCCGTTTTTTGATGCGCTTCGCAAGACGATTTTCCCTATGGGCTTGCTTCCGTCTTGCGAGTCTTGCGATTTTTTTCACTCCCCCCCCCCCTTTTCTAAGCCGCTAAGCCTTTAATAGCCGCTAAGCTGCTAATAGCCCTTTTAGCCTCTAAGCCGCTAAGCCTTTAATAGCCGCTAAGCTTTTAATAGCCGCTAAACCGCTAATAGCGCTAATCCGCTAAGCCGCTAATAGGGTTGCTTCGCAAGACGAAAAAACCGCTAGACGAAGAGACTCACGGAACGGATTATTTTTCGTCTTGCGAGCACCACTGTATAATCAGAATCAAACAGCACCACTATGTGCTCAGCTAAATTGAAAGCATTTCATAAAAAGCAGCCAAACCTTCCTCAACAAGCCCCTAAATAGGAAGGGCATCTGAGCAAATCTTGTACAAAACCTATGACATGTGAAGGTATATTGTTATACACAATTTGCTATACCTGGTCCCTTTACTTGGGTGCAGATTTTAACATTTGGTTTGCCCAGCTGTAAATCATCTTGTGTTCTGTATCCCTCACCAAAAAAAGTCATTTCAAAGGATGACTGTTCCATCTGTAATTCAAAAGACAAGAAAGAAACAGCATCAAATCTCTAGGCAATGCCACAGTTTCTATCAAACACACATTACTGCTTATACCACTGAATTTCAGCTCAGTTTAACTACAGTGAACTACAACCAAAGTTGAGGGAGTAGTTTTGTGTACAAAAAACCCCACTGTAAAATGTTATGCAAAATAAGCCAGTTATTTGAATACAGTGCGACTTGCACTGCAAAAAGTGTGGTATTTACCACCCATAAAATATATTTGAGGTTCCAGATTGTCTTTGCTATAATCCAATCCAGCACTCTTATATTGTCATTTAACCTTCATGAAGTTAAAATTATCTCAGTGGTCCTGCCACAAGTTTTGTCTCAAATATTGCTTTTAAGCTAGTTTCTGAATAAGAAACTGCCAAAGTAGGTAGAAAAGGTTCACAGTCTGAATAGATACGGGTTTCAGATTTAAACTGAGATTTTTTTCCCAGTCAACTTTCATTGAAGACTGTAAGCACTGGATCCAACACAAGGAAAGATTCACCGCACACACACTCACCCAACATACACACCACAAAATTTCACAAGCTGTTGAACAACAAGGCCAGAATAGCACAAGCAAGATAGGTCCACTTCAAACAAGGTAGGAAAACAAACTGTCACCCCAAGAAAAGGGTGGGTCAAAGATTCTGTTGGAGTGATGCCATTTTCCTGCCTTCAAGCAACAGGAGGACTACTGTTCACTTGTTCTCCTAGTGCTCACCTGAGAACTTATTGCTATACATGGGTTAAACATGTCTGCTGAACGTTTACTTCAATATTCACAGTGTCCCAATATTAGAACAGTAAGCCCTCAACTTAAGCACATTAAACTTGTGCATATTCAGCTTTATGCATTTGGCAAAATAATTATTAAAAAATGAAAAGGGTGCAGCGTTGGAAAAAATGACTTTGACAATCCCACCCACCATTGAACTCTATGGGTTTTGACTGTACACTATTTTGGCTTCATGCGTGATCCTTGGAATGTAACCTCAGCGTAAACTGTGGGCTTATTATACTCCACATCAGACTACCCATCATCCCTTTCCTTTACCCATTCCGCTTGAAAGACCCCAAGATGCCTCCTCCTCCACAATTTTCCCAGTATTTAATCTACAATCTCACATTGAATTAAGGAATTTTCCATTGCTGCAATTAGTAAGCTATTCCTGTGACACTGTAATTATGTAGAAAACGGTCACATCACAAATACAATCGCCTAAGAACAAAAGTCGTTACCTGTTTTTCTGTTGGTCCTTCCTTTGTGAAATGTCCCCCAGAAAAAAATTCGGGATACTGAAATAAGACAAGCCATAATAAATTCCAGAATAACAGAAAAAAATCAAACTTCCGAAGTATTTAAAACAAAACCTACTTTTAGCAGGAGCTTTCTTCCAAAGTTGAATTTCACAAGCATTAAAAATAAAAGGCCAGCAAACATTAGCTTAATAACAGTTCCAAGACCACCCACAGTCGCGTAAGCAGCATACTGCACCTGAAAAGAGAAATTTTATATCAATGAAAACCTGACTGTTTTGCATAAACTGTTCCAGAAAACAGAATACAGATCTTAAAGAACAACAATTCACAAACAACCAAGCCTTGCTTAGGTGACAAAGAATAAATCCAGAAATAGGCTAGATATGATTGCTAGCTTTAACTGTGGGCACTGTAAAAGCAGCTGGAGGCATTAAAAGAAATACAATTTTCTTTTAGTACTACTATTACAGTAACACAAATACGTTGTCATGTGGCACTATTGCAGAAGGAGTGATGACAGCCTTGCTGTTTGACACTTTTTCCCATTTCAGAGAGCTACATGAATATTCCCACATAAGTGGCAGTGGTGACAGACATTCAGCAGTAATAAGATTTCCCAGAAGCTCATAAAGTAGCACAGGCCTGCAATCTTTGCAGTGTTAGGCACATGAATTCAATATGATTTCCCCTCAGGCACCTATGCATAT